TGGTGTTGCAGGCTCTGGTCACTGGGGTCAGCAGCATGGGAGGCAGATGATGGACTGTTCTGGTGGTTTCTGTGGCAGGTCCACGCCGCCTCCCTTGTGGCCTGCTCTCTCGGCGGACTGTGGCACTTAAGGGTAGCGGTGGGGGGAGGCAGGTTCCTCCGGAGCATCAGGACCACCACTCTCTCCTGTTCCCCATCTCACTATGGCACATATGGAGCAGGTGAGCCCTGTGGGTCCCACCCAGGGCGCTCTCAGAGCCCGGGTGGAGTTGAATCCATGAGAACAGAGTGTTCAGTTTGGCCTGCTCTCCCACTCGCTTTTCCGGTTTTTATCTGCAGTCCTTCCTCTGAAGCCTCTAAGAAAGAATCATCTGAGCAGCTTTGAAGGACGCAGGGATTTGCAAGGCAGAGGGAGCCTGGAGGCCCGCTTAGCCACAGCAGGGCAGCGAGAGCCTGGCGTGTAGGGGGCCAGGAGATCCTCCAGTGGTTGAGGATGTTGTCGAGTAGGTTTTGTGGCGTGAAGATTGGGCCATGGAGCCCAGAGAGCTACTGCCCTCTGCCCGGTGAGAGAGAGGGCTTTGCCCCCCAGGGTGGGGCCGCAAGTGTGTGTTTCTGCATTGCGTAATTGCAGGGATGTTGTGTCCTGTACTTTCTTTTAGCCTAAATGCCGTATGCCCTTAATCCTCCCACGTTTTGAGGCCACCACCAAGAGGCCTGGGCAGGTGCAGAATCGCTTGTCCAGAGTCTGGGCTCCCTTGTTCACCAGGCTGTGGTTTGTCCTGTGGGGCTTTGCTCCTCTTCACAGAGGACGGAGCTGCCCCGTGTCAGAGGGGAGCCGTGCCCCGCTCTCCCTCAGCGTGTCTGTGTCTGGAATTTGAAGTTGCTGTTGGGAGGGCGTCCATATGACACCTTCAGCTGCACAAGCCAGGTGTCCTCCTGGGGTCCTGGTACCCAAAACAGCTCTGTGCGCCACGGGCATTGTGCGCATGGCTGATTTTCCAGTTTCTGATGCTCGTGGGGACAAAAGGAGCACTGGATGGAAACAGCTGTTTGTTTGTCTTTAAACAGGTTTTCTCAGCGTCTCTCTGGGGTGGAATGTTGGTGCCCATTGGTGACAAGCCGTCCAGTATTGCTGACAGGTGAGTGACAATAAACGAATGGGCAATTGCGGATGTTTCCTTCGGATCTTTTCGGTCAGTTTCTTAGAAGATATTTTACAGAAGTTTATTCAGGAGGGCAATATTTCAAATTTTACTTTAGGTTTTATGTGTAAGCTGATTTCAAAATGTCCAGTATACCTCATTCTTAATATTTTTTGCTTTTTGTCAGGGGGCTACTTACTTCATTGTATTAAAAAATTGTTCCCTTTTGGTTATGAAAGAATACAGTTCATACTCATCGCAGAAATATAAAAATAGAGAAACATTTAAGGAAGTAAAAAAAACCCAGTCCTACTCAGTGATAAGCAGAGTTAACATTTGGGCCTAATTCCTTTTAGTTTATTTGTAGTAGTTGTGTGTTTGTGTATATTTGTGTATGTATATGTATATATATTTACATATATGTATATTAAGTTGTTAATATACTATATTTTACATGCAAGTTTGTGTCCTCCCTCCTTTTTAAAAAGCGTTAAGGAAATTATAGTGTAATCATTCACCCAGTCATGAGAAATTCTTCATAAACAATGTTTTAATGACATATAATGTTAGTTGTATATACTATAACTTTTTAGCCTACCTCGTATTTTTGGATAGTTTACTTATTTCTAATTTGTGATTTTTATAAGTAACACTGTGAATAATAACTTTTTAAATAATTTGTTGGTAATTGTATTTTCTGTGAAGAGATTCCTAAATGTGGAATTACTAACTCAGAGTAAGGCTCCTAATATTGCTGGGTCCTGCCTTGTGGAAACCTTACAGCGGTTTATACCCTGACCAGCAGGGTGCGGAGTTGTACTTGTAGCTTTGAAATACTGATGATTGTCCTGGAGGACAGGAAACTTTTTCTTCAACCCTGCATTAGTGAAAATGTTGTTTTAGCTTAAACTGGTTCAGCCTTTTTAGGTGGCTGTTTAGAAGTATAAAACTTCCAAAATTTTAAATTTATACACTCTTCACCTAACAGTTTCACCTTCAGGAATCTAACTTAAAAAAATACTTTTATAAGTGTGCAAAGATTTATATGTACGAGGATATCCATCATAGCACTGTAGATAAATAGCAAAAAACTTAAAACTGCCTTATGTAAGTCCACAAGTAGGGAAACGACTACTAATAAATTTTAACACAACCATTCTTAAGGAAGACTGCAATTATTAAAAATAATGAGATAGATGTCCATAAGTTAAAAAATTTGCGTAGGAACATTTAGTTGATCCTCTTCTGATTACTCAGCAAAACTCCAGTGTGCACGTGT